CTCTGGTATCATGGCTACCTGACAACGGAGCTCAAAAGAGTGGGATCATTTTAAGGAAATGAAAGAGAAACCTGTACAATTAAATATCTGCAAGGCAGAACTCATCTTCCACAACAATTATTTTTAGTTAGCATATAGCTAAAATCTAACGCGGGTTATATAATAGCAGCTACATTCTGGCGCAATAAGCTCTATGTTTTATATTCAATTACCGTATGATCTGATTAGTCGACTAATCGAAAAAATAATCGGTGATTAATTGATTATAAAAATAATCGTTTGTGGCAGCCCTAGTACCAACAGAAGAGAAACAGGAAAAGATGCCTCCTTTCACATGTAGGCAGATTTTATCTTATGCAGAAGGAAACAAGGGGAGAAGTAGAAGGATGTTAATGTTTCTGCAAACTATAAACTTTTGGGGCTTCAATAACTTAAATTTAGATAAACCATTTTCTCGGTATGTTTGTCGTAACCAAATGAAGATGTCTTGTCAATTTCAGGACGAAAGCTGAACTCAGCTTTTTTGTTTTCTTTTTTCCTGTCTGCCYCAGCCTACAGCTTGTGACTAAACTGTCAAAACAAAAACATTTACTTCTCAGGGTCAGCCGTCTTGACTTTTCCCTTGGGAAAAATATTTTGGTCTTTAATTGAAACAGCGGCACCGAGCACAGCTGTTCACTTACTGTATGAAAAAAAGAATAACAGTCAGCATCTTCACACTGTATGGGGCTAACCCTACAAACTTGTTTAATTACCTGAAACAGCAGCATAAACTGGAGAACCAGGAAAACCAGAAAATGCAGATCAAGGCCATGTCGGCCTATCWTCTATTAATCTTCATCGGCTAAATGACACAATTAATCGTGCTCAGTTGTTGCCAATATTGTCCAACCCTAATGTTGATGGATCAGTTCAGCAGGATGCAGTTTGTCGTGTCTGTTGGCAGTAAAATTGTAGATCACTTCACAAGTTGAGTTTTTAGCCAAACTTTGACCCTTTTTTGCAGAGCGTGTCATACCCATAAGTTCAGTCATGTTAAGTTAAACTTTACCTGATCATAATTATTTGATAAAACACAAATGTCGGCCTACTTCATGACCAAAAATATTTTTTGACAAAAGCATTAGGAGTGAACATTTCACCTATGTTTACTGCTATAAATATTTGTTAAATTATACCTCTGAATCATMGTGTTATTGGTTCCAAAATATTAAATAATGTTTAAACACAAGAAGTAACAGATGGGGAGAGAGTAAAAAAAGCTAAATTAGCTAATTTCAAACTAAACTTCGACCTGTTTCTTCGTGAACCATTCATCTATTTATGATGTAAAACTTTGAATCTGATGATTCATGTATGTGTAGAATACATATGTTGCATGTTTAAAACATCAGAAAGAAAAACTGAAAACATATGAGAAATTAAACGGGGTGTAAAATCAGTCTAGCAGTATTAACATTCTCTCCAAGGACCACTTTGAAAAAGAGAAGTAGTCATCGTGTTCCAAACCATGGTTCAATAATGGACTCATAATGAAGATGTATGAGAATTGTGGAACCATTCATCCAATAAAATAGACAATGTAATTTATACTTAAGTCTTCACTGTGGCACTTTGTGTAATAGTTATGTCAGTCTGCAGACAATAAAGACCTAAGAGAACCAAAATCATTCATTTTTTCATCTATAAAGTTGAGAAAATGCCAAACTGGTTCCAACAAAACAAATTGTCATTAAATTTGGATAAAACAAAATACATGATATTTAGTAATAGGAAGACAACTGTTGATTTCTCCTTTAAAGTAGATGGTTTTGAGATCTGTAAAGTCAGTGAGGTGAAATTTCTGGGTGTCATCATTGATGACAAGCTATGGAGACCTCACATACATTATTTAAGAACAAAAATATCTAAATCTATTGGAGTACTGTATAAAGTCAGGGAGTTATCCAATGACAAGGCTCTGCTTGTGTTGTATAATTCAACAATTGTTCCACATTTAATTTACTGTATTGAAGTCTGGGGTAAAGCTTGCAAAACTATTACAAATCCAATTTTTGTTTTGCAGAAAACAACCCTAAGAATTATCGCGAGAAAAGATTACAACCATACATCAAATACATTATTTCGAAAAACTGAAAATTTTGAAATTCTATGATTTGGTTGACTATTATATTTTTCTGTTTATGTACAAGACTCATAAAAACATATTACCTTTTTGGTAAATTTTGTTAAGAGAAACAATTGTTATTATCTTAAGGGAATGGAAATGTTTGTGAAGCCCTATTTTCATACTTGCTTGAGAGAAAGATGTCATCTAATACAGGGTATAGGATTATGGAATGGTCTGGATGATCTTAAAAATGCCAGATCTATGTTTATATTTAAGAGACAGATAAAAGCTAGTTTTCTGAAGTATATGGAAAAGTAAAACGTGAAGCTATATGAATTGTTGTTTGAGCTGATGTTTTTATTTTTATTTAGAATTGTTTTTTATATTATGTTTTGTTTGAATACATGCTGGAGTTAAAAAGGGCAGATACAAAATTAATTATTTTGCTACCTCTCATTTTATTTAGATTTTTTTATTTGTGTACTTTCTTTGTTTTTTATTGTATATGAATAATAATAATAATTAATTAATTAATTAATAATTTTTAACTGAATTGAATTGTGTTTCTAATTTAAAAACAAACTTAGTCCATTATTTCTGTGATCTGGCACCCAGACAGTTAGTGCATGTACATACTGTGCATCTCCACTTCTTGGTTTTCAGCCAGTCCTTGGTGGATTTACTGGTATGATTTGGGTCATTATGTTGAAGGGTCCAGTCCCACTTCAGCTTCAATTTAACCGTAGCAGCAAGCTTTAGCTAACCAAGGTAGCAAAGGTAGCAAGGGTTTATTTAAAAGTAATTTGCATTTGTCTTACCAGAACAAACGCTGTTTTTATTTTGGTTACATTTAACAACCGTAGTAGAGTTTCTATGGCCTTGAAGAGTTCAGAAACCTGTTCAGGAACCAAACTCAATCAGTGGATAAAATAGTGTTTTAACGTGAAACCCAAAACAAAACATGATTTTTTGACACTCCGCAAAGGCTAGTGCGCACGCCATTGACGTCGCGAAGCTGCTCTTGCTGAAGTATCTGGATGTTCCAGCATTTATATGATCCTTCTATGAGAGATCATAAAGATGTTCAAATGGCACAGAATGTTTGGAAGGAGATTGCTGAAGCGATGCAGAAAGATGAATCTGAGTGTGTAGAAAGGCTTGGAAGAATGAATTGCATGTTCTAGTAATGTATTAAGTAAATTTACTTATCTGAAAAATAAACCAAAAGAATGTCTTAGAATTACTCTTTTGATCAGTACTAATAAAAACTTGATTTTTAATAACAAAATTAAAATTTGGGGATTTTCCCTGTGAGACAGCAACGCTTTCTTTTGATTCATGATGGGAATTATATTTACAATACCATTTGATTTTTTTCCTATTTATAATAACATCGAATGTTCCTCCTACAGTTATAAAAAAGTCTGGTTCATACCTAATTTTATAGAGTGAAACTGTTAATGACTTTGAGAATAAGACAATATGCAAACAAAACTGAGAAGGAAAGTTGCAGTGGATATTTCATTGTAGTTTCATTTTATTTAACATCATTTACTCTCCAAAATGGACTTAAAAACTAAAGGTACGAGGAGGCAGCAAGGGCAAATGTGGCAGATAGCTCCACGCTTAGTTAGCAAAGAAAAAACAACTTCAAAATTAAAATAAGAACACGAATGAATAAAATAAAAACAAAATAAAGTTGTGTGATGTTATACATTTCATCTTCTACACCCGTTTTTCTTCTTTTACACTCGTTTCWTGCGACCTATGCACAGGTTTTAGAGGTACTGCCTCCTGCTGGTCCGTAAAAGAACAGCATTTTGCAGCGCGCCACCGTGCATCAACTATAAACACAGCGGCGAAACTGTAAACGCAGAAGCCGCACGGCTCAGTGCAAGCGCACTCCACGCGCTTGAGCCGGCGGACCAAAGCGCGAGTATATCTCAGCTTTTAAGGCGAATAAGACTGTTCTTAATAAAACACGACCAAGGTACTGAGAGCTTTTCAGGTTATTCATCATTTCACTGTCAGAAGCAACCGAGTCAATGAACTAGCTAAATATGCTACTCTATGTAAACCATTTCATCAGGTCCTCTCATCCCTCGACCACATTAGGCAGTGGTAGAATTATATTGACCTGTTTGAGTTCTGTCACGAGGCGTTCCCACTTTGTTACATCCACAACGCTCGGAGAAACTGTTAGCTTGTACTGTCGCACTGAAACAAATGTCAAAGTTTTGCGGCAGAAATCCCACCCATAATTCACGCGAGGCATCATGGGGACTAGGAATTATGTGGATTCGTAGCAACACAAAGAGGCAGAATTAATTTGCCTAATCTACCCTGAACCTCAGACTCAGCTCTATCTAAAAATCAATAAGACACAAAATCGTGGTGCGTTTAGCTGTGTTTCTACTGTAACTTGTAGTTGGTCACCCTGTAAACAACAGGTCAGCTTCATACATCCTGTATTACAGGATTATTGCTGCTTCATATTGCCTGGAGTATTTCTGCCTGGCCTTTTGTAAAGGATGAAACAAGGTACACACTGTGTTTACACTGCAACACTATAGTAATGACTCCCCCTGGTCATGTAGATAAGGACGATGCTTTGGTCGAACAGGAACTTTATCTACACTGCATTTTCAAAACATAGACGATTTACTAATCCAATCACTTTAAACAGTTCACCATCACTGTCCCCAGTGTACAGTTATTTAAAATATTTAAAGAGTACTTACTGGTTCATTGAATGAATGTCCTTAATTGTACTGAAGATGCCTTCTCTAATGTCCTGCTTCAGGGTTCCTTTGGCCTTCAAGATTTCCACAAAGAACTGTGAGAGAGAACAAATCAAGATGTGACGTCTCCGCAGCTGGAACTTCGGTTTCATTTAATCTGCTTTCCATTAACAAGGTTCCTTGCTGACGTCTTCATTGCCCTCTCAACGCAGAGTGCACAAGAACACCCTTAAAACACCTCTGATTTTAATGCTAGTAACAGACGGGCTGACAGTCAAAACGATTTACAGCTGTAATTCAGCACAGAAACCAAAGCAACATCTGTTTTGGTTTCAAGTCATTTAAAGTGAAAACAGGATAAGAAAAGTGAAAGTCTGATTGGCCTAAAACAGGGGTGTCAAACTCCAGTCCTCGAGGGCCGCTATCCTGCATGTTTTAGAGGTTTTCTTGCTCCAACACACCAGATTTTGATCGTTGGGTGATTAACAGGCTTCTGCCCAATTTGAAGAGTTAATTCAATCACTGAATCAGGTGTGTTGGAGCTGGAAAACCTCTAAAACATGCAGGATAGCGGCCCTCGAGGACTGGAGTTTGACACCCCTGGCCTAAAGTGACTCCTAATTGGAGTGAAAGGGTGGAGAGCTGGTAACTGCGCAGAAATGAGGCTGTGGAAATCTTGTGCTCTCCACAGGGAGGTGGAATACTAACAGTGTCTGTTAATGTCCTTAATTGTAAAAGTGCTCTTACGTCTAATAATGTAGAAGGGCTACAGCCTGTGACTAATGTGAGGCTCTCTTCATCACAGCATGAGGTGTGTGTGGAGGTACTGCCTTACCTGTTTGCAAACTAAACTGCCATTCAATTTGTCTTTATGATGTAAACCCAAGCAGTAATACGATATGAGCTAAAACAGAGATTCTTAAAGGTGACCAATTATGGGTCCTAGAAATGTTTATGGTATGTCTGTGGGCTATCCAGACCATGTTCATTCAATT